TTACTCTATCTTGATAAAGAATAGTTTGAAGGGAGTCTCAAATAGATAGGAGTGCTTCAGCACCAGGACTATTGATAAGGTGAAATATTAATTAGGTAAGAGATAACTTTGGGTGGCTTCTATTTACTTAATTTTTGATTTTTAAAAATAATGTTTTCTGGTTTTCATTATAAAAGCCTTGTATTTCTTTTTCTTCAAATTCATTACCAAGAACAAACTGTGTGTGTGTGTGTGTGTGATTTGTTACTATGATGAATGGGATTTTAAAAAAATATATTTTTAAACTGTTCCTTGGTAAGTATATATAAAACTATAGCTAATTTGTGTGTATTTATCTTTTGTTATTGCTATATCACAAATCTTATTTGATATTTCTAATAATTTTTAACAGAATCTTTTAATATTTTTCTCTATTTGAAACCATGCCATCTGCAAATAGTTTTACTGCTTTCCTAATCTGTGTGTCATATATGTATATATGTAGGTATTATTTATGTTTAAATATTCTGGTTAGAAACTCCAGTACAATGTATTTTTTTTTCCCCCAGTGCAGTGTTAATCAGAGGTAGTAGAATAGATATCTTTTTCTTGTTCCTGATTTTAGGGGAAGAGCATTCTGTCTTTCTTCATTAAGTATCATAGTAGATGTGAGTCTGTTGTAATCACTGTTCAGAAAGTGTCCTTTTATTCCAGCTTGCAAAATGATTCTTTAATGAAAGTGTGATAGATTTTGTAATTCTTCTGTACTTATTGGGTTGATCATGTGAGGTTTTAAGAAATTCTTTGTTCAGTTATTATGGTGGGTTATTACACTGGTTGATTTTCAGATGCCACATTTTAGAATATTAATCTAGTGTATTTTTCAAAAATGCTATTGTCCATTAACTATTGTGTTCATTCCAAATCCTCCAAGTAAATAGCTCTTTGAATGCAAGAATATTTGGTCATCATTTTGCTCTGGCAGGTAGTCAGTGTTTAATAAGTATTTATCAAACTGAGAAATCACAGATATAAACTTCTTAGACAATCCCCTAGGTTTTGGAAAGGGTTCACGGCAAATGTCTGAGAGTGTTCCGTGTGCAAACATCAGCAAGTGGTGGGAACAGAATAATGCAAAAAAAAAAAAAAAAGTGTTTCCTGTTTTTCTGGAACTTGCAGATTACAAGAAGAGACAGATATTCATAAAACAATCACCCAAACGGGGTGAATAATTATGAACTGAATTATGCAATGAGGAAAAGGGAAAGCTAACAGGATGTGTATAACTGACAAAGGACTAGGGGTCAAGGAAGTCTTTCCTGAAGAAGTGACACCTACGTTAGGATGAGAAGGCTGAGGTAGGAGGTTCAGGAGGAGGGCTTCCCAGAGCATGTGACGCTGCAACATGAGCAAGGACCAAGGATAAATGAAGGGAACATGTTCCGGGGCTTGGCAGAAGACAGAGGGGCAGAAGGTCAGAGAGAAAAAGAGAGCAGTTTGAAATGAGGCCAGAAATGGGAACAGCTGACAGAGTTGAAAGGATCTATATGGGTCTGTGCTTCAGATGTGGATTTTTATTCAAGAGTAAGCATGAGTGTGGGATAGATATGTGCAGGCATCTTCATCCGTTCTTCTTCTTGAGTGATCACTGCAGTTGCTGCCTGAAGCACAGTTTAAAAGGGACCCCGAATTGCTGTGGATGGATTTGTCATGTGGCTATGGGAGCAGTTACATGCGAGATATATGTGGGTGTCTTCATTCTATTTCTTTTTTAAATTTTATTTTATAGAGAATAAAAAAGCAGTAACAACGTGGACAAAAACAAAACAACACAATAACAATAAAAATGATATAGGATTTCAAAACAAAATGATAGGAATTAACAGTGGTTGTTATATTACATAGTTATCTTCAACAAAGCTGCTCAGATTGCCAGATGTAACAATGCAAGATTGACCAAACCATTAAAGAGAATAAAAAATAATTAAAAAAAATTAGAAATGATACAGAACTTCACTAAACAAGATGGTAGGAATTCACCTATGGTTGTTATATTGCATATTGTTGTCTTCAAATTAGTTGTTCAGAATGCCAGATATAGCATGCAAAACCGGTCAAAAATGTAAGCATTAACTCTTCCTTTCAATAAACCAATGGACACTAGCAGTACAGCTATTTTAGTTATTCATATGTGTGTATATATATATGTGTGTGTATGTGTGTAGGCATATATAGATATAGTTTTACTATTTTTTAAATACCTGAGATGATTCTGGGTTAATATGTATTTGTTATATAGGAAATTAAAACATACATTTCAACAAAGGACCAGTAGCTCTAGAAGTCCCATTTCTTTCAGTGAAGTACCAGATGTGCTTAGGTGATGATAGTAGTCATAAGGAACAGACACCTTAAGAACTCTCTGAAGTTAAAATCGGAGTGTTTGTGTGGAAGGTTATATGAAGGTAGTACGGGTGACTAAGGTGGAGGACCCATCCTCTGGGAAAGTAGTAGCTCCATTCTCCGGGAAGGGTCATTAGTTTTTCAGGAGAAGGTGAGAATCCTATGGTGGATAACTAATATTGGTGACTACTGGTATATTTAGGACACCTGAGCCATAAAATATTTAAGTCTCATAAGATAGTGTGGTCATTTTGCTTCTCCAGTGTACCCAGGATAGGAATCCAGTTTTCCCTAGGGACTTCTCCAGAATGGCAGATGATGACCCGGTAGATTAATGCTTACAACTACATCTACAGAGGTAAGCCCACTCCCTCACTCAGTCCCTATTCTCCCCTCTCTGATCCAGTGATACCATGCAAGTTATTGCTTTGTTTCAGGGAGTGGGGTAGGTTTTTAATTTAATTTTTGCTTTATCTCACCCTCCACACCATCCATCAGCTGGATCTTATATATCCACTTTCTAGAGACAGAACTTATGAGATTCAGAGAGACCAAGTATATCTGGAACCTAAGACCACAAAAGAGGCTGCTCCAAGTTTGAAACCTAAGGCTTCTCCTTCCTCTATGCTCTATACTCCGTGCTCTAACCTGGCATTCAAAGACTTCTGTGACTTACTGATAATACAGCTCTCTGTCCTTGTCTCCATCTGCCTCCATTGCAGGTCTGCTATTTATTGTATATTGTCTAGTGAATTTGTACCTCATCTGTCAGCTCCCTAAAATGAAGGTTCCTAAAAATCAGAAATGCCAGATCACTAACCATTTCAGACCTGACTCGTGATCCAAAACTAGGGTCAGTGTCTTGCTTGGAACATCCTTATTCTTTTCTATTTTCATAGTTGTTTTCTTCTCTGTCTGCCCCTTATGGTGAAATTAATTTGGCTGTTCTACTGTTCCCCAAAATGCTGATTTTCTTTCTGTCCCACCTAGACCCTGTATACTGTGGCACCTGGAGTTTTCAGACTGTTGGATTCCCATCAATGCCTGGATTGCATTTCTTCCTAAAGAGACATGATCTACTGTTGTCAGATATTGATAGGCCTAGAAAAGTAGGGCTGCAGAAGCTAAAAGTTGCTTAGAGAAAAACTCGGTTATGAGCAATCAATGAAGTTGACCTCAGTTAAAGCTGACCTGGCCTTCATTATGCCTGCTTGTGTCAGTTTTTCCTGGTCTGGGGTGTTGCCCCAGCTGTTGATTTGCAGTGCAGCCTGGGGATTACAGGCATTCACTGCTGTAGGACTTTTGTATGTTATGGGAAACAGTGGTGTCCCTATGCTGTAATTCTATTTTCTTCTTATTTATTCATTTGTCTTCTTTTTACTGTTAACTCTGTTGTTTAGGACTAGATACTACAACATAAAGGGAACCACTTTTCCCTGCCCAAGCAGAGGCAAGGGCAGTACAAGTTAGAGGAATCTCAAGTCCACTTCTACTTTTCCCACATCTGCTAGTCTCAGAACCTCTAACATACAAATTTCTCTCAAAGGTAGTGAAGTTTTCCTCTTCCCTCCATGTAGGTGTCTTAATATGTGTTCTGTTGCTCTAGCAAAATACCTGAGAATGAGAATTTATAAATAGTAGAGGTTTATTTAATTCACGGCTCCAGAGTCTGGGAAGTCTAGCAGCATGGGACTGGCATCTTCCCTGCACTGGATAACAGCTTTGTTCCTGCACCACTAAATGGATATTGCATAGGAAGACAGAGCAAGTGTGCTCACTCAGGTCTCTCTCCCTCTTCTTAAAGAGCCACTAATGCCATCGTGGTAGCCGCTCTTCATGACCTCATCTAATCTCAGTTACCTCAGAAAGACTGACCCTCTGAATAGGATTAGCTTATGAATTTCAGAATTCAGTTTCCAACACATGGACTTTTGTGAGACACATTCAAACCATAATAATAGGTTTGTGTGTGTCCTTCTCGTGTTTAGGAAATGAACTAAAAGATCATTTGGAGGTGGGCCAGAAGGTATTTTCATTCTCATTTGCCTGTTTTTGTGGTAAATTATGAAAGTACTTCATGGGGAAAAGCAAGGCATTAGGAAGAAAATCTCCTACATAACCACTGTAAGGGAACAGCTCCCCTCTCCAATGTTGCATGTTTTCCAGTGCGTCATCAGGGACATGAATGTTTCAAGAGGGTGCATTGCTCTGCTGCATTCTCTAAGCTTCTAAGCCCCACTGCCTCTGAGCTCACCCTCCAGAGTCCTCACCTAGGTACAAATCAAGAAACTGGCAAGAGCTTTCTCCAGCTAATATGAGCAACACACAATCAAGGCCCTCTGTGCTGGAAAGTCGGTGGAAGGTGGGAGGCAAAAGAGGGGTGGAGAGACTTCCAGTAGTAGAATGGACCTCTGAGACCCATTTGCAAGACGGACACTTCACTCTTTGCAGTGTCTACATATCTTTAATGGCCAGAGTTGGGATCAATAGAATGCCTGCTACCTGGTTAATAATGGGCCTGTTAGGTGCCACAGGTGAGCACCCTGGCTGTGGGATCCATGAGCTGACAAAAAAGACCACTGGACACTGACTTTTCACTTTTCTCTCTCTTTCCCCAGGGCAGCCACTGAAGTTTTGGCAGTATTGCTGAAATCCAGTAAGCATCTCTTCTGAAGAGTGGTTATTTTTTTCCCCTGTGATCTTAGTGAAAGATGCTCTTTTGTCTCTATGGCTTGTTTCTGACCCATAAGGAAGCAAAGCCGTGTCCTGGATCTTTGGGATGAGATGGAGAGTATTATGGTTTTCCACATACATGACTGCAAGGAGAGAGTGAATATCTCTCCATGTGGACATGTCCATACACAATGGCACCAAGACAGCTGACTGTAAAAGGGGGAATGTTGTCTGTTGAGAGGCTGGGTACATTCCTTCTGCTAATTAGGCAGCAGACCTTAAGAATTTCTGGAATAGACTCCAGGGTCCTGTGGGATTGTCCAGTGAAAGAAAAGGTTGTGACTGGGTAAGTAGCAGATTTTGCATTTGATTCCCAACTCAGCTCCTACATTCTTGGGCTGGTGGAGTGCTGGAAATTGCTAGGACAATGTGAACATTGATAACAAATTTATATTAGAAAGTTGGCTTTTTCCCCATTACCAGAGTGATTGCAAAAGAATAGCTCTGGGGGTCAGTGCAGTTGTGAGGATTTTGGTGGATAGCCCTGCCGTAATTACGTTGGGAATCAATTTCACCTATACAATACAATAAAAGCATGATGCACTTGGGAGTGAAAATGTGTTATTGTTTTTTTTTTTTTTTTTTGAGTCAGTGAACAGCTTTATTTTACACCAATAGTCCTGGCCCAGCTTGCTCCCAACAGCAAAGAAAGTCAGGCTCTGCCCTCTGGTGATGTGGGGTTTTTATGAGCTTTCACAGGCAGGAAATACAGAATCAGAACTGTAGGTCTTTGATAGGGCAGGACAGGTCCTGTGACTTTGGGGAACAGGTGGGTCAAATGGGAAATGGAAATGTAGTGCCCAAGATGTTTCGTGGATGAAGAACCAGGAAGTGAATTATGGGCATCCCCAAATTAGAATAGAGTAAAAGGGGATTTTTCTGCTTTATTTCTCCCTGTTATTTGTATCTAGACAAATCTTTGTCTACATTGTGTTTATTAAATCATGTTTTATTGGGTTAATAATACCGCTTAGTTATTGCGGGCTGATCAGGTGTCCAATCTCCCAAACAAATATATGGTGAAGCCTAAATAAAAAGAGGCAAATGGAATGATTTCAGCGCTCCAGGAGGATCAGAGCTCTCTCACAGGATTAGAGATTCTTTTAGAGCCAAAACCAAGACCTCTGGGTGTCCTTAACTTATTTGGTTATCAGAAGAAGGGAGGGGAGTACTCAGGAAGGATGGAACTTCTCAGGGACTTCTCAGAGTAAAGTATTAAATTAATCCACCCAGGAGTGAGATGCCTGAGGCTACAGTCTTTATCTAGTTGAGATGGGACCCAGGTGTCCTTGCCTGTGATCTTGTTTTGTCCTTTGAGGCTTTCTGGCTTCATCACCATTATAGGTTTAGTAGGGATTAGTGACTCACTTACTATAAGTCCACCATTTCCAGACAAGGAGCTAGGCCTTGGACAGATTCACAAGTGAACATGAAAAGCTAATTGGTTAATTTAAATTCTGCTCAGGTCTGCTTTATAGCGGTCTTCATCAGTGTTTTTGTTGTTTAAGGCTGAATAGGGGACTAGGTTTGTCTGAGACCCCGTGGCCATTTATGAACTCTGGGTAAGGACCATCTGTTGTTTGATAGAGTCTAGGTGCTGGGACACAAACCATGTTAACCAACTAAGGATATAAGGTCCTAATAGCAGAGTGAAAAAAAAGGGTAGTTGGCCAAGGAGGGAGTCTCAACCACAGGCTCCATATTAAAGGGTTTTTTGTTTTTTAATTAAAAACCAGACTTTATTGAATGTGTTTTGGACCATAATTATCTTTTGTGTTGAAGACACACCCCTGTCTAACTGCCTGTAATATTTGTAATTAACTTAGCTATTTATATTTTTGAAGAGATACCTCTAACTGTGGTTAGGGCACACCAGATATAGTTTTCATCTTCAAGGCTTCAAGATGGAAAGGTCAATGTGAAGGGACCCTGAAATCAGGAACCTCCCTGGGGAGCCAGTCTAACAGAACTCAGATAGAAGTTTCATAGTTTACCAGGTATGAACACTTTTTACAAGATTGATCCTGTGGATCCCAGTAGGAGGAATCTAGTATATTTATCATTGGTTTTATCTGTACGGTCACTTGGAGTTTGGCAGTCTCTAGGCAAGAATAAACAAATTTTGAGAAATCAGAACATATGTAATCAAAGCATGAACACTAGAATGGAAAAATAGGTTTGAGAAAGAGTCAAGTCCAGAAACTATTTTTAAGGGGGGTGGAATAGTGATTCCAACCCATTGTTTTTGTTTTTTGTTTTATCTAGCTTATTATGGCTTTGTTTTAAATATCTTTTGGTTATATTTTTCTGTTGGGTGTTCAAAACCAAGTTAATTTGAGACCTGTGTTGATAAACATTAACCTCTTGTTATGTATCAGTCAAGATCAGTTAAGTTTCCTCAGGATTTATCTTGGAACCATGCATAGCACTTCTCAGTTCTTCTCTCAGTGTCAGCCTTCTGGGTGAGTCACGACCATTACTTGACCAAGTTGCTTTCTGTGAAAGCTTGGGAGACGTTTTTCCTGGTGACTCTCCTTAGGCACACTACACAACACTGATCTGTTCTTTCCATAGTCCAACAATCTCCTTAGGAGGTTGTATGACTTACCAAAGTTGTAGGATGTTGCTGAAAAGGTTCTCTCATGCCCTGGATCCTCACTGACCTTGGAGGGCGAGGGACGAAAATATTGGCTGTCCTCTTAGCCCATCTGTCTTTCTAGTTTTGGGCTCTAAACTTTAGTTGCTGAACATCCAGAAGCGAAGGTTAATAAGATTACATTGTAATAGGAGCAGTGAGCTTAATTTTTAAAAGCTTTATCTGAATATCAAGCACCTTGAAATATTAAGTATAGCCAGAGAATTGTTATTTTTTTAATCAACCATGAATTTCTAGTAGCTGAATCCCTGTAGAATTTTTTTTTTTTGTCTTTTTGAGACAGGGTCTTGTTATGTAGTTCAGGCTGGTATTGGACTCACTTTGTGGCCCAGGCTGGTCTCAAACTCACAAAGATCCTCCTGTCTCAGACTCCTGAGTGCTGGGATTACAGGAGTGCACCACCATGCCCCACAAATCCCTGTAGAATGTTAAGAGACAACAGTTACACAGTTTTATAGACAAAATTGAGATTAAAAGTGATACATAATATTTTATCATGACAGACATGATGACATTTTTGTAACACACCTAAGTCTGTATTTTGACATAGAGCAACCTTTTTAGTCAATCCTCTCTATCTCTACATAAGAAGCTCTTACCTAATTTGTTGTCCTTTAATGGGATGTCATTGAAGTGTGTGACCCTGTCTGGACTGTCTAATGTCTAGGCATCCCTAAGTATAGTGGCACATACATAGCATACATATATCACATAAGTTTTTGTTAAAAATAGTATTATTGACTGGTGGCCTTATGTTCTCTTAGCATGAACCTCTTATCACAAGTAGCTGGAGCATAAGAGAAAGAAGATGTCTAAATCTGAAAGAAAATGTTTATCACCATAAAAAATACCAGTTTTACATTTTAGAAGATGTATACATCTGAAGGCATGAATACATTTAATAGACCATGAGAGTAGCAACAATGAATTGTCATAGACATATGAAAACCTTTGATTATCAATTGGAGTTCACATATGGTCCAACAGTTTTTTTTCCCACCCTAAGGGATTTTTATTTAATTATCTTAACAACTTCTGATGATTTATGAAACCAGATTGTAACAATTAACACAATATTTTTGAACAATAAGAAACTCTCAAGTCATAATATACAAATAGCAATATGCATTGCATTTCTCAAACCAATTTTAATATCATTTTGACCAGCTGGTAACTTAAGATGGAAGCATATCTTTAATTTTGATGACATTTATCCATAAGCCAAATAAAATTACAGACAAATGCTTCAGAAATCCAAAAATGTGAGAAGAAGAAAAATTTGTTGAGCTCAAATAAAACAGCTCTTTACAGAATGGACACAGGCAAATAAACAAATATAAATAAGATAAATCTATTTATCAAATTGAACTATAATAATTCTTTTACAATTTAGAACTTTTTAATTATAAATATACTAGTCAGAATTATTTGTAAGTCAATTAGTAGAGATCTTTATAAGAAGAATTTGGAAGGAATAAAAACCACTTACATTTGTGAAAGACAGTTTATCTGATTGGAATATCCCAGTTGTTGTTTTGAGAGGCATATGTGATTATCTTTTCTAATAGGACAGACTGCTAAAGGTAATTTTAATTATCTAGTGGGGGTGTGTTGAGCAGACCAGGTTTGGGTGTAGAAAGAGATTATCTCTGGGAATAGAGGCTAGCCTGGAGAGAAATCATGATGAGGCAGTCCTCTGGGGACTGAGAGTTTGTCTATTTTTTAATATCTGTTTTAGTTTAAAGCTCTTATTAAATTTATAAGGTTTTAGCAATGATTTTATCAATGAACTTATATGTGTTATAAAAAATCAGTTTGTCCTGTGTTATAAAAAAACCAGTCAGCACCATTTTAAGGGGAAAGGGGAGCTCACCTTCAGTTTTGACTAAGGACTCAAAGGTGGATTAACTTAGACTCAAACTTGTACATTTATTTTGTAGAGCTACAGGATTAAATCTAGACCAGCTTTTGAATTTAACCTCGAGATAAGTGAAGATCAGCTTTACTCTGGAAGAGTCCCAGTAAGTGGAAACTTACCATTACAGAAACTTGGTCTTGAAATTTAGTGGACATGAAGAAAAGAATTGCCTAGGACCAAACACTGTTGCAAACTGTCTTATTTTTCAGGAGCAGGGCCTTGGAGAAGGGACAGAAGAATGACTTTAAGTATGGCACAGGCCCTAAATTTTAACTATCTCAGGTGCAGAAAGACAATTAAGATTCAAGACATTTTCCTGGGGTGGTTCTCTAATCTTTAGCAAAATATG